TCCAAGTGCACCGCTCCCATATGCGGCATAGCTTCCTAGATAAAAATACGTGATGATCACGTTTCATCATAATGTGATGTCATACTGTGATTTCACCTTGATACCTTTTTAAAGATCATTTCGTGCGCATGCGTAATGCAAGTATTAAAGCTAGCTACACACACTTTTCGTAACAGTAACCGTAAGACGTAATGGCTCCTATACACAGGACGCGATAATGCTTGCCGCGCGGCGGAAGTCCGCGTGACAGCCAATTAATATGTTGTTTTTCCGTAAGAGCTAAAAAGTTATTACGGAAAGCAGCATATTGATTGGATGCCGCGCGAACTTCCGCCGCGCGGCAAGCATTACCGCGTCCTGTGTGCAAGAGCCATAACATAAGAATTGACCAATTACGATCGAGTATTCATAAAAATGGCGACCTTATAATTCGACGATTCTCAACATGATTAGTCAATTCTTATGTTACGTCTTACGGTTACTGTTACGGAAAGTGTGTGGCTAGCTGAAGGCCATTGCACGTAGAATAATTTTAACCGTAACCGTAAAGTAGTAAGAAAACTGACCAATCAGAGTTGATTATTCTCCTTGCGTTCGAGGAATAATCGATTGTAATTGGTCAGTTTTCTTACGACCTTATGGTTACTGTTCAAATTTTTCTACGTGCAAAGGCCCTTAAGAATGGACAACAGATTTTGCGGCTACGAAATTATGATTCCTGCACACAGGACGCGGTAATTCTTGTCGCGCGGCGGAAGTCCACGCGACAGCCAATCAATATGTTGATTTTCCGTAAGAGCTAGAAGATTATTACGGAAAACAGCATATTGATTGGATGTCGCGCGAACTTCCGCCGCGCGGCAAGCATTACTGCGTCTTGTGTGCAGGAGCCAATGGCTTAGTTTACATCGTGCACATGATACGCGTACTAAATAGTCACTTTCTTTTAGATAATCTTAATATCGACGATATATATAAACAACGGTATATTAAGCTGGTAATACTCATCAACAAAACGTATTGTTTTGATTGAATGCGTCGCCGTTAATATGCATTGTCGATATTAAGATTATCTAATAGAAAATTACTATTTAGTACGCGTATTAAATGCACGATGTAAACCAAGCCATTATGGCTTCTGCACACAAGACGCGGTAATGTTTGCTGCGCGGTGGAAGTTCGCGCGACAGCCAATCAATATGCTGCTTTCCGTAATAACCTTCTAGCTCTTACGGAAAAACAACATATTGATTGGCTATCGCGTGGACTTCCGCCGCGTGGCAAACATTACCGCGTCATGTGTGCAGGAGCCATTACTCCTGTATTACGTAGAAATTACATTTTGTGTTTGCTGGGATGAATACTAGTAAGGTTTTTGGCAATTTTCTTTACCCGTGCAACAAATGTTGGTATCCAATAAAATTTTGCCTAATAAAATATTTTATTTTACTATACTCAATTTTATTTCTTTGTACGATTATCGTATCTATCATCCTTTTTCTTTTATTGTTATATTGTTTATCGAATTTTGTTTGATGCGTTAAAATAATAATATACTTTGTAATTAGTATATGATTACTAAATAAATAATTTTTGTAAATAAATATTTTTGTAAATACCTGTTCTGTTTTATAAACGTATAGGTTCCTTTTTTTGACATTGTTTTAACAATTTTTCAATAATAATGAAGAGATTCCAACGGTACATATCATTTGCCTTAAGGCTCGTCTACAATTTCGGTAAGAATATGGCTATAAGGCTGTAAGATGCGAAATGAATTATTTTTATTCGCTGACAGCTCACGTTACAGCCTTAAGGTTTGTCTACAATAGCTATAAGAATATGGCTGTAAGGCTGTAACATGAGCTGTCAGCGAATGAAAATAATTTATTTCGCGTCTTATAGCTTTACAGCCATATTCTTACAAAAATTGTAGACGAGCCTTTAGCTACTTTCATGGTGACGTGCACGCCGCGCATGCGCTTATAGCCACTTCAATATCGGAACACTGGCTCGTGTCCATATTCTTTTCAGATAAGTCACATAAACCGCATGGTTAGATTGCGTTTGACGCACAAGAAGTTGTAGAAAAGTTGCAAGATGGTAAGAAATGTAAATTCATTGTACGTATACTTTACATTTGAGCTGTCGCAATTTATTTTTTTGCCCATTCGATGCTCGCTCATAAACATTTCGTTGTGAAAGTGACGCTTCCGTTAAACGATGAGTTAGAGCATTACACGTGGTCGCTTTCAATATCTCGTAAATAAATTCTTGTTTTATCATATTATGCGATTATTTACTAATATTTAAAACTTAAATTCCTCATTTATAAAAAAATTCCACACAAACGAAATTTCTTATTTTTATATTGATGCACGATGTACCACAGCTGTTTATAAGGAAGATTAATGTGTCTCCATTAGATTAAAATTGCGTTCTGATATTCACCGCTAGTACTGAAAAAATTTAATGCATGTAACATGATCTATATATCTTTAATAATAGCAATGAATATTGGAATGCTTAAATTGCACTCTCTACATGTACTTTAAGCAAAGTAGCCACATATTTGACATTTTATGAAAGAGAAAAGAGAAATTAAAAAGATTACAAGATAATTTATACATAAAATGCAATTATAAAGAAGATATTCATCTAATACTTAATGTAAATTTTTTTTAGTCTTTATCAACAGCACGACCACTTATAACAGTATATACCGATAAAAATGAAGCATCGGGTGATACAATTACCCTACCCTCTGTTTTTAAAGCTCCAATTCGACCTGATGTTGTGAACTTTGTTCATCAGCAAGTATCTAAGAACAGCAGGCAACCTTACTGTGTGTCGAAAGAAGCTGGTAGGTAATTTATAGTATATATAATCTCAAATTACAAAATCTTACATAAAATTAAAATATTATCTAATAACAAGGTTGAAAAAGTTCTAAAAAATAATTTATCACTATATTATTTATTGAAAATTTGTTACTGTTACACAATTTAAAAATTAATTGTTGTTAAAAAAACAAGTCATTACAATTTTTATTACTTTTTCCACCAAGTTTTGAAAACTTATTTTTTATGATTCATTGATGCTTATAAGATATTTGGATGGCTATTTTATGTATATACATGTATTCTGCATGCGCAAAGTAATGATGGCAAGATGGATAATAATTAGCTAATAAGTTAAAGGTTAAATTAAAAAATTAATAACTTTTAAGTTATTTTTTTAAGTTACTTTTTAAGTTAATTTACAATGTAGAATAAACAAAAATTAAAAATAATATCTCAATGGAATTTTATCTTAAATAACTCAACTTTTAATTTAAATTAGTTATCAATTTAAATTGTCAAATAACTTGTAGAATTAAACACAAATGGAACTAAATTATTTAAACTTGTTACTTTAAAATCCATTAACTTTAACTTATTAACTTTTTTAATATAAGTTAAAGTAATTCATTAATATTGAAAGCATTACAATGCTGCTTACAATGTAGAATAAGAGAAATTAAAAATATCAATGAAATTTCATTTTCATTTCTCTGATCGCCAGTGTTTTTTTTTCTTGTATTGAATCCTAACCACAAAACACAGTCAGTATTTTCTTTTAGAAGATTACCTTTTCATTATTTCATAAATTTAACTTATGAGTAAAAAATTAATTATGCAAGAAACATCTATACTGTTTTGCATAATTAACTTTTAACTTTCAAAATTAACTTAATTTTAACTTAATTTTTAATTAAATTAATTTTTGTGTAATTTTTAATTTAACTTTATTCATTTAAAAGTTTCGTTAATACTAAAGCTTAATTTAGAAAACATTAACTTACTGAATTCTGAATAAAAATAACGATTATATTTGTTACCATTACCTAAGAAATGTAATTATATTATCGTTATTGTTGCTAATGAAAAGAGAAAAAAACTTTACCAAAAAACTTAACTGAAAAAAATAACGGTAATGTTATTGGTAACTCGTTACTTCTCTAAATCTTATGTAATACATCTGAATCATGATGATAATAATTTGGTCCGTGTTCCTGAATGAACAATGATTAGTCTTTACAACCATATAACTGATGCATTAACGATTCTAATTTCGTGAGCATTATCTGTAATATATGAAATATAAAATTAAATATAGATTTTATTTCTTAGGGCATCAAACTTCTGCCGAGTCATGGGGTACTGGCCGTGCTGTAGCACGTATACCTCGTGTACGTGGAGGTGGTACCCATCGTTCAGGACAGGGCGCCTTCGGAAATATGTGTAGAGGTGGGCGCATGTTTGCGCCTACTAAACCATGGCGACGTTGGCACCGTCGTATCAATGTTAACCAGAAGCGTTATGCTCTTGTCTCAGCCATTGCCGCTTCTGGTGTACCTGCTCTTGTTCAATCTAAAGGTATGCATTTTACAAATAATATTTTTATACAGGATGTCCCAAACTCTCCTCTGCATATTTTGTGGGAATGTAGAATAAGTCGAGGTGAACATAAAAGTCCTATACCGTTTTGCGATATTCGCAATAATAATCGAGATATTATTAATTAAAAAAGATTGGTGAATGATCACGCGCCATATGGTAGATGAGCTGCAGTAGCGTCGTCTGCCGCTATGCTTATATATTAAGTATGCTTATATATTAAGTCAAACTGAACAAAAAAAATCCTTTACCATTTTGCAAATGATCACATAGATTTTTAGATATTAAAGAAAATTGTTACATGATTGTGTACCATAATGCACAAATTTTCTTTAATTAATATCTAAAAATCTATGTGATTATTTGTAAAATGGTAGAGGACTTTTTTTTTATTCAGTTTGACCTAATGTATAAATATACCACAGCAGATGGCGTCACTGCATCTCATCTACCATATCTCGCGTGATCATTCACCAATCTTTTTTAACTAATATCTTGAGATTTATCGGGAATATCGCAAAATGGTATGGGACTTTTTTATGTTTACCTCAATCTGTTCTACGTTCTCACAAAATATGCGGAAGAGAGTCTGAAACACCCTGTATACTTTTATCTTGAAGAAATTCTGGTCTCGTGCTCAAATAATATTTTTTAGCTTGTGTTGCTGATTTTCTGTTGATTGGTTTTCTACTAATGTGACAATTTGTAGTAATTTACATGTTTCTTGTAAACATAATATATATATTCTAATATATTACTATTTTGCACATATTACAGGGCACATGATTCAAGAGGTTCCCGAATTTCCCTTGGTTGTTTCTGATAAAATCGAGACGTATAACAAAACTAAGCAAGCTGTAATTTTCTTGAGACGTATCAAGGCATGGAATGATATTCAAAAGGTAAGTTAATATTAAGTTTATGTTATTGATGTGCACACTAATGAATACATCTCTTTTTCCCGCATTTCTTTTTCCCTCTCTTTGCTAGACACTTTAGCTTGAATGCCTGTAGTAAGTATCAAAAAGAACATTGTATTCAGGCGTTTTCGTCAAATAATTAATTTGCTATAAAAAGTGATATAAATAACTAAATAGCTTGTTCGAAGTTGAGTACGAGGTCTATCATTTAACTTCAAACTTCAATCATTCGTATTATAAAATATATATCATTTATTTTTAGGTGTATAAATCGCAAAGATTCCGCGCAGGAAAAGGAAAAATGCGTAATCGTCGACGTATTCAACGACGTGGACCATTGATTGTCTACGGAAAGGATGAAGTAAACTATATTCTTACAAAGAATTTTATAGGAATCATTACATATTGTTTACATATATAATTATAATAATATAATTTTGTTTCTAGGGAATATGTAAAGCATTTCGCAACATCCCTGGTGTCGATCTAATGAATATCAACAAAATGAACCTTTTGAAGATGGCACCTGGTGGTCATGTTGGACGTTTCGTCATCTGGACAAAATCAGCATTTGAACAATTGGATGCTGTTTACGGTACTTGGCGCAAGGAGTCACAACTCAAGAAGGGATATAATTTGCCATTTTCCAAAATGGCGAATACAGATTTATCCAGGCTTCTGAAATCTGAAGAAATTCGTAAGGTTCTAAGAGCTCCTAGGTAATTGTGTAAATGACTATTTTATACAATTTTAATTATTGTAGTCTCTCACTTTTTCTTTTTTCTTACTTTTACTTTTCTAAATATCAATTCTTCCTAATAATGTCATATTTAGTGTGTGTGCGCGTGTGTAGTATTTATAAATCTTATAATATTTATAAATTATGATTTTTTTGTGCTACTGAATAATCATGACTATATCTCATAAGCATGACTATATCTCATAACCATGACTATATCTCATAACCATGACTATATCTCATAACCATATAGCTGATCCACCATTTCAATGATCCAATTCCGATTTCGTGTTGTTATCCAAATATGTTATATTTAAGGAAAAATAATATAATTGTAGGAAGAAGGTGGTACGCAAGGTGAAGAAACTTAATCCGTTAGCCAACACTCGAGCTATGTTGCGTCTCAATCCGTATGCAGCAGTCCTGAAACGTGCTGCGATCTTAACAGCGCAAAAACGTCAGCACGAGAAGGATATTCTTTTGGCCGAGAAGAGAGGCGTAAGTTCATGTTTCTTGCTTTCACTACTTTACAAATAATTAGCTGTAAATTGTTGTAAAATATTGAGAATTTTAAACGATGGCATTACTTGATATCGTGTTTCAGATTAATCTACCGAAGAATTTATCGGCTGTGAAGACCAAAAAGCTTCAGGAAAGAAGAAAGAAACAACTCATAGCTGTCAAAGCAGCTAAACCTAAAAAGCCGAACACTGTAAAAAAAGTTGTTGCGGCAGAAGTTAAAAAAGAGAAGGATACAGCGGTAGCGAAGATTGCTGCACCAAAAGCTGCACCAAACTAAAAAGTAGATAATTGAACAATTTGTACATTACTTTGCACATGCAGAATACATGTACATACATGAAATAGCCATCCAAATATCTTATAATAAGCATCAATGAATCGTAAAAAATAAGTTTTCAAAACTTGATAGAAAAAATAATAAAAATTATAATGACTTGTTTTTTTGAATAACAACAATAATTAATTTCTAAATTGTGTAAACAGTAACAAATTTTCAATAAATAATATAGTGACAAATTATTTTTTAGAAGTAACTTTTTCAATCTTAGATAATATTTTAATCTCGTAAGATTTTGTAATCTGAGATTATATATACTATAAATTATCTACCAGCTTCTTTCGACACACAGTAAGGTTGCCGCTGTTCTTAGATACTTGCTGATGAACAAAGTTCACAACATCGGGTCGAATTGGAGCTTTAAAAATGGAGAGTAGGGTAATTGTATCATCTGATGCTTCGTTTTTATCGGTTATAAGTGGTCGTGCTGTTGATAAAGACTAAAAGAAATTTACATTATATATTAGATATGAGTATCTTTTTTATAGTTGCATCTTATGTATAAGTTATCTTGTAATCTTTTTAATTTCTTTTTTCTCTTTCATAAAATGTCAAATATATGGCTACTTATGCCCATTTTCACCATCCCGGTTATCTTAACCGGCTAGTTATTCCATTGGAACTGACCAATTGCACTTGTCGTTTAGCAAGATTAACCAATCACCGTGCACATTTAACCAGTAGTTAAGGTAACCAGAGATGGTGAAAATGGGCATTAAAGTACATACAGAGAGTGCAATTTAAGCATTCCGATATTCATTGCTATTATTGAAAATATATAGATCATTGGTCTGTTCTTTTCAGTTAACTACTGAACTGGTGCAATAAGTTAAAGTGAGTCAAGTATATTTTTTCTCACTCTAACTTATTGCACCAGTTCAGTAGTTAGCTGAAAAGAACAGACCACATGTTAGGGCCAGCGCACGAACATTGCCGTAGTTTCTTACGCCATCTTAGGCTGCGTTCAGATTCCTTACCCGGGTGCACTCTAATACAAGAAGTGCTATAGTATATGTGACATATACTATAGTGTTTCTAGTAACAGAGTGCACCCGGGTAGGGAATCTGAACGCACCCTTACGTGACAATCTTACGTTACGTGAGACGTAAGCTGAACGTACTGCAGGATTCACACTGCGTCCGATTTCCGACGTACGACATCCGATATCCAATAAGAGAACAGCTTTTTAATAGAGAATTCAATTCTCCATTGGAAAGCTGTTCTCCTATTGGATATCGGACGTCGTACGTCGGACATCGGATGCGGTGTGAATCTTCCATACGGCAACGCACGAAAATTTTACGTTACGTTACGTTACAAAAGAACATAGAGGTTATGTGACAAAGGTAATTAAATCAGATTATTGAACAATAAGTAAAGAAACAATAATAATTTATCTTTACAGTCATAATTAGAAATGTCTATATCGAGCACATATTAATTTTATTAAACTGTTAAATGTATCTGTACAAAATTATAAACATTGCGTTATAATCTCTTCCCAACACTATGTATAGAATATGGTTGACATATAAATATTGAAATAAAATTTTAGGTTCTCAAGTTAACAAATATGAAAACATCAATGTCTATGAAGTTAAAATGTTTATTGTTGTCATTATTCTTAATTTATTATATGAGACTAAAACGGAGAAAAACACACAAAAGATGGCAAAATAGAAGATGACTCGTGAGACCAATTAATCAACAGAGAAAACAGCAAGGAGAATATGAAAATCTATTTCAAGAATTAAAAACTGATGAAGACATGTTGTCAAATATATAAGGATGAATGTTTAACATTTTAATAAGTTATTAACCATGCTAAGATCTTATTTGGTAAAAAAACTAGAAAGCTCTGTCTCCGGAACACAGGTTAATAATATATTAAGGTAAATATAGTTTATTAGTAAAAATTGTTTGATGTAACTACTTTTTAAATTTTTAGTTATGTTTAGAA